CTGGTTGGCTGATCGGAGGATCAATTAGGTAACGTTAATAGTCCCTAGAAACCTATGTTCGGTTGAGCCATCTCGCTACCGAAGTATTCAGATATAAATAAAATTGGAAAGTAAATAAAGTTCTATTAATAGAACTAGACCAACTGTTTATGTTTGGTATTTTACTGAGGCCTTTTAATGGCCTCATCCAAATATCTGATATGTAAAATGGAAAAGGTATTAATTAATAAAACCATTAAAACCATTTTAGGAAACTTAAGTTCCTCGTGCTATTAAGAGCACATTTAGGAAACTTAAGTTCCTCGTACTATTAAGAGTACAGTTAGGAAGCTTAAGTTCCTAGTACTATTAAGAGTACGTTTATAATTTACGTACTGCTTAAGAGTACGTTTATAACATAGAGTCTAATGTGGAGGCCCGGCTTATTACACTATGAGGTAGTATAGAATACTTACAGTCCTGTCGCTGGATATTAAGCAATTGTTAAACAGTCTAGAAATAGTACGCTACGGTAACTACTAAATAACTGGTAAATATGTAAACTTCGATGGATATTTAAATGTCTTAAACTATGTTACATAAACTAAGATACAATTTAAGTTAGTTAGGATTTAGCAGTGGTGGCTTGTGTAAGAATGATCGGGACTGCCTCTTAGTAAGAGCCGTAATATGCTCCATCACACAGGACGTACCTCTAGCTGATCTATTTTGAATAATTTTCACTAAAAGTACTAAGTGTTCATGACCATGTCTAATTTGTAGATAGGCATAAGAACGTAAGTCAAGTTAATACATTAGCTAATATAAATAAAGTTCCATCTGAAGAAAAGGAAGAAAAAAAGAAAAAGACTTATTGGGTTTTGGAGATTGGCAGGAAGACCAAAACCTGTAAGTAGTAGTCCAGAGATTATAAAATTTAGTTTATAATCTCCTACATCTACTTTCGTCTCAAATAGGTCCAAGTAAATGAGTCATACCAAATACTCAGGCTAATGGAGCCATCAAAGTGAATTTAGAACACTTGGAAATATTGGAGAAAAAAACTTGTATTAAAATTTTAAAAACAAATTAAAACCAATGTGTTATCTCATTTGATCTTGATATTTTAGACTGACCGGAGGCCGTATTTCTACACTAGTTTATTGAAATGTGATTTGTATTCTCTATCTCACCAGACTCAGACATCCACATTAGTGTTGTGTTTCACTCACGAGGTGAAAAGTCGGTCTAACGAGGCTGAATTGAACGGTTATTTCAACAACAAAGGATGCCACCAATCAAAGTCGTTTTAATCTGAGGAGGGCTGAAGCTAGACTTAATTTATTTCAGAATTTAAACGAATCTATTCTTACTTTTTTTCTCAAGTATAATCTATCCTGGTTAGACCGACTTCCTACAGGCTGCGAAAAATAAAGAATATGCTGCTGACAAATTTTAGTATCCCAGATATTTTGACCGTACATCTATTATTGCAAAGATTATTTCAGAGTATACTTCCTGCGATCGTCGACAGCACATTCGTGACTCCGTCGGAAAATAAGACGCCGGTGGTCCTTGATGACACCAGTGGGCAGATAGAGCGCGCTGACAGAACTATGAAGGACTGGCTTAGTAGGTGTATGGCTTTGTTTGCGAAAAAGTTATTGGAAGGAGCTACAAAAAAATCAGGAAGAAGTGTTAGCGTGCGGTGTGGGGGACTAATAGATAATGTGCAAATGTATGTAACGTAAGGTGAATTCGAATGAATTTATTTATGATCACCCTCAGATATATACTGATGGTGTTTGTACTAGTGTTCAACCACTTGGGTTGCCCAGGGTAAAAACCCATATGATCAGTATGAGAAACCTTATGCAGAACACTTTAGCACTCGTATGTATTTTCTAGAAATAAATATATCATATTCTCTGTTACTACACTCAGCCTCGGACCTCGGCTCTCGGCTAGCCGGTGGCCCGTATTCTATAAATAGAATAATCTGAAAAGAAGTCTCAAATTACTCTTACATTCTCTCGGGCTGACCCACCTATAATTATATTAATTTGAGAACAAGTCCCAAATTACTCTCGGGCTGACGACGTAAAACGTTATTAACGTATATAGAAATACGTCTACTACTGTAGTCTCTCAAGAAGGAAGAATTTCGACTAGGTGCTACCGACTGCTAAACGTCCACTCGAGCTTAACATAACAATATCTTTGCCCGTAATTTGGCATCAGTGGCGAAGTTGCCGATAACAGTGGTACGGGACTTGATGATATTTCAAGGACTCGCGATACTGGTGCACTTTGTCTTCGCCAACTGTAAAAGTCGGACAACCCAGCCTAACTATACGGTATCAATAACGTAAAAGAAAGTATGATTTAAAAGTAAAACTGCACAAAGTAATTTAAGTTTAGCTTCAGCCCTGGGTAGTGAGCAAAAGCTTAGAGTATTTAAGACTGAGACTATTGTCTATATAGCTCCGCTTTAATCACTCACTAATTCGGTCTTGATTTATTTGGTGTCAGTAACTAAGATCAGATTTTATTTCATTGGATGTATGATATTTCATTTCTTTCATTTCGTGCTTCGAAACAATCCTTCAATCGTAATCAGTAATAAAATAACTCTAAGTCCAACTTAAGAAATAAAAAAGAACTCGAAAAACATCACGTTGCTGCAGCTAAATGTCTGCTCTCCATCCTATTGAAGGCGTAGACGGGCACATCTAGTAGGCTGGCTAGGGGGGATCATTTTCATGCCCCATTTCTCAGTGGATTAGTGTGTCATCAAGTGTCAATTTCACCTGAGATTCTCCAATTATTATATCCCAATATTATGGTGGAAAACGTATCATTATAGAGAAACCACCAACATTAATGTCAACAGAGTCTCCGTCCTCTGTTGTTCACAATTGTATCTCCAAACATCTATTATTATATTATTTGTTTGTTTGTTTTCTGCATTTCAATATATCTAAATGTAGATTATTTGATTATTTTGCATTGACAGATATCTACAAGACCAGGTTCTATAACTGTATTGCGTTTAAACGTTCATATGTTTATAATATACGTTAACATGTGCTTCTACTATAGGAACCCGCTGTATTTACAACGTGGTAGAAGTACTTATTTTTCATGTGTTCGGACATGGGCAGGTCAACCAAATCAAGGATAGTCCGGCTCCACGGCACGTCTTTAGGTACACGCATTGCATAGGTACGCATCCGTAGTGCTTGATCCGGTAGTGTTTGATTCTGTCACACATAAATCAAGAAGGCAGGATTCCTAGGTTCTGTAAAATCAAAATCAAAATGTGAGGATTTCACTGCAACATCACCCGGAATTAAAGACTGTTGTAGTGCTACTTTGCGTGAAGACTCAAAACTATGTATACGACTGATATTTGTTTTGTCAATTAGCTGGGTGACATAACCTTATGAAATTGCATGGGAGGTTGTTCATCAGTTGATTAAGTAGTCTGTGTTTCTTCTTGTCAAACACCGTTGCTAGTGATGCGCTCCTCGATGGAGTCAGCTCGTATCTCAGAGGCATATTCTGCAGGTGCTTGTGTTATCTTGGTCTCATTAAGAGCCCCAGGTGTCAAGAGTGGGATCTTCGGATTCTTCGACCTTTCTTTTAAAGAATCAGATGGCGTCCACGTGGTTGTTCCAACTAGATCTATTTGCCAAATTACAATTTGTCACCAATACGTCTTCTGGACTGCAAGGGTACCTTGGTAGAGGAAGGTATCTATCTCTTTTTCTACATAGACTAGCTCGCATTGTATCATGGATATACATTTGTTAAGCCACTAATATGAATGTCATAAGAAACAAAAATGATAGCACCTTGTATATGAACATAACTTAGCAACTGTGGTATCAACAACCGCGGTAGAGTTGCTCCTACCTTCTTATCAGTTGTTTCGATTTGAAGCGCATCACCTTCTGGAAGTTCCAAAGTTTGATATCGCGGGAGTGACGCAATATGACGGGCTACAAACATGTTCATGGTATGTGGACCATATATATTGTCTGCAATCTTAAATCATTCAGGACTGTATTTCCAATCAGTAGCTGGTACCTATTGTAGCTGGCTGTGTATACCAGTAATATGTGTATGTCGCAGGAACTTTTTGCTGTTTCTTTCTGATAGATGTTATTATAATATATGTTTATGGTCAATATGTGAAACAAATCAAACTTTGTATTTAGACTTTTGATATTCATGTGATATTATGTCGTAGAAGTGACAGTAGAGCGGTCCAAATAGCTTTAGTAGAAAAAGATACGCTTTCTAAACGACCCTTCTTTCTTCTTTTTTTACCTCCTGAATTAATCAAAAGTAGCTCGCTTCGCTTGCTCCTGACATAACAATCTGATAAAAGTGACTATGAGAAGAAAAAAATTATGCCTTCTGAAAATTGAACATTTAGCATGATCTTCTGCTGGAGAACGGGGGTCTCCCAAAACACCGCCGCCACCCCCACTAGGACAGGATTATTTTTATTTTCTCTCTCCAAATCCATAGAGAGGGTCATGAAATCAGGAGGATGTTCCAAAACTAAATGAGCGCAAAAAAGCGCCCGCCTTTTGCGGCGTGTATGTTCATAGTTAACAGACAAGTGATTTAATCAGAATAGAGAGTGTGTGTCTGAGTTGGAGTAGACGATGGTTGCGTGTACCGTGTGTGTCTGAGTTGGAAAAGGGTGTGTTCGAAGGTAGACAACTGGCTTTCTTTCGCATTCATTTGCCAAAGCCATATCTTCAATTACAAACAGGGAAGACCAGTCAGGCAAACGGTAGATGCTCACATCCTAATGCATACGGAATGAGAAGTAATCCTGTTTTTGTATGTTTTCTACCATTGAAACAATTACGAGCAAAGAAGTCGAGGACGAATATTGGAGCAACAGTAAGAATTAAAGTATTTGTCACAAACACTTTTATCCTACAGTACTTTTGACCGATAAGAACGGATATTTAACTCACGTACTTGTCGCTGCACCTACGATGTAGCTCAAGACTTTAAAAACTCATACATGAGCGATTATTGATTCAATATGCCGAATAGTAATGTTGGATAAATATTGGGTCGTAGACAGCAAAAGCAACTATAAAAGCTTTTTACGGAAGAATCAGGGACTCACTTTAACCAGCTGATCCGATTAAGTCCCGGTATTGAAGAAGGAACCATCAAAGTGTCCGTTTACGCGCCAACACACGCGGCCCTTAAACCATGTGAATACGATGTCAAGGGCAATTTCGTACTCACAATCACCTACGCTGAAACACTACTCGGGCTAGCTTCTACATTTACTGAATTTGTGCATAGAGTGAACGAAGTGGAAGATATATACAACTGAGACAAGTGTATCGTATGATGATGTAGTACATTCTTCAAAGGTAGTATAAAAGATACTACGAAACAGGGCACAAATAGAAATGCTAGGAACATTAGCGAAGCAGAGAATGGTTTCCTGTCAATTCGTTCGTTGTTGCGAGCGTCCATGAACTATATACACGGTCTCGGGGGCAGTACGGAATATGAATGTATATACCAAATAAACGTGTTCTTCTAAGGCAATAAAAAAGTATCTCTCCTTTTTCAGATTGTAGATTTGCAGGACGTGAGGCATCACATGCTACTGTACTATCAACAATAGTGCAAACCCGTATAGGCGGTCTTCGGGTGATAAGCTTTTTAGATATTGCGAAGGATGAGAAAATGCAAGTGGACAGTGATGGTGACAAATATACCAAAAAAAACAACAACACAAGGCTGTTTCTACTTTACATCTGGACGGAGTGAGAATAGAACCGACAAATTCTAGCCCGTATCAACCTAGATACCCTTACCCTTAGCCAATATCATATAAACTTTCTAGTCACACCGGTAAGTGGCAAGAAGATGTTACTGAATCTAATGTCAAAGACAGTAAAACAAACTGGTGAAAACTTGTTTGGATATCTCGGCAAAGCTTTGGGCAAAGCAACCGAAGCTGGCATAGAAGTTTGTCCCATCATTTTGATGGTTGCAGCGTCAACAAAAAAGCGCTGATGAGGATGGAACTACCAGACAGACCTGTGGAGCCCCCGAGACGTCGTCTAGCGCTTCCACAACATTGTCTACCCATCTACTACAACATTTTGGCAAAGCTTTACACTTTTTTTCTTTGCCTGGTTCATATTCTTGAGTGAATCCGAAACAAACTAATACGGCCAGGCCGTACTTTTAAATACCCAGAAATGCGATTATCGACTGGATACGTATTGCCAGAGAAAATTTGTGATATACGTTGGGTAAGCAAACTGTGACATTTGTACAAATATGGTCCATGCTCATCGGTACGGATCAACAAGAAAATTGCGTACCCAACAAATCTCGAGCGTCGACAGGTTTTCTCTGCCTTGATATTGTTTACACCAGAATTGACAAAGGCAATCATGACTCTTTTTGAGGAGGTAGCATCAGGAACGAGTCTATTTTTTAAAACGATTCAGAGATATATTGTATAGCAATTTCTTGATGACTGAACTAGCCAATCTAGTACTGGGTTGATTGATTCAGTATTCACCCTATTTGCTACAAAGGTCAGCATAATTCAATTTGATGAAGAGCAGATACACGCTACACCAGGTCGGAAGAGATTTATAGGTAGCCTCTGAAAGACGGGTTGTAGAGTTTGAAAGTAGCTTAAAAGATACGACCAAAGAAAACAAAAAACTTATTTTCAAGTGCAAACCTCTCAACTAGGTAAAGGTCCTAGGCTGGATGACTCGCATTAAGTCTTTATTTGTGTTGGTATTTCTACGCTAGACTCGAATTATACTTAAATATTTTTCTCACACACGGGGTCTCGGTATTATCTACCAGTAATCTCGCTATATTCCGGATGACTCTAATATAAGGAATATTCAGTCCGGACCCCAAAACTCAATACTTGATGACCCTGCGGTTTGGGATATAGGTTGGCTTTTTGAGAATCTGATCCCTAGATGATGCAGCCCCACAGCGTTGTGCTTCTGAGCCTGCGCAGGAGCAGCCATCTTAAAGTACTAGATTGTCTTGAGGTTGGTGTTTCTGTACAGGGAATAACTTGTCCCTTAGGGGGTAAGATGAAAAATCTGTCACAATTACCTATTCTTACGTATTACCTAATATAAACTATGAGAGCTCTCAACCACGCTCATCGGAGTCGGTCTTGACCTGTGCTCTTGGTCGATATCAGCTTGATTTGGGAAAACGCATCTCAACGGTGGCTCTCAACTGAGTCTTGGTTCTTATCTCTCTGGAGTGTGGGCGGAGCACGCTTTGAGGTGTGAAAAGCTGGAATATCCTTCGGCATCAGTGCAACTCGGTTAAGTTCCCCGCTACGTGCGCCCCCTGTTGCTCGCGGCTGTTTAATCAGTGCCCATTGCTGTTAACTTCGTCGGCCTGGACTGCCTTCGTGTAAACTTCGATGGAAATTACTAGGTTTCAAACTATATTAAACTAAAATACAATTTAGTCAGTTAGGATTTAGCAGTGGTAGCTTGTGTAAGAATGATCGGGACTGCCTCTTG